AGGAGTTCAAGTTTCATGTTCAGAGGTGAGTTCGAGACAACTTACAGCGCTTGATAGGTGGTCTTAGGACGTGGTATTGGTCTCTTTAGATTCAGTGGATGGCAAGGAAGAAGGTCACGTTCTTATTTTGATCTGAAAATGCTTGCAACACTCTTTTTGATCTCACACTTTTTTGACAATTTTCCACTTTTGCTTTGGCCGTTTGTGCAGTGTCGGGGTCGTGAATGTTGTTGCTACTGCTTGCTTATGTATGTATAAACGAAATTAGGTCAGCAGCTGGGCCTGTATCCTTGTGTATTGAAGTCTTGAGATCTTGTTGACCACCATTAAAGAACTTTCCATTTTTGGTTCAAATTCAAGATTTTATGCACAAAAAGGCTTAGCACGAATTTGGTAGCTGGCATATGACATATAAAAGCTATTCAAATCAAAAGATGCTATTCCATTAATTTTTTAGATTTTATTTGAATTATTATGGATTTAAAATGAATTAAATCAATAAAAATTAAATAAAATAGAAAAATAAATGTTTGATCTTGAAATTAATCATGGGACATGTGGGTGGCATGACAAGGCTGAATCAAGTGGAAGAAAGTGGGCCCTTTTGTAAAAAATTGAAGTTTTAAGGATAGTTGACTTTTGCCATTTCACAAAAATTTCCCAACTTCTCCAATGCATATCTTGCTCAATTTTGATCATATGAACATGTTCTTGGACATTTTGGAAAGGTCTTGAAGTCCTCTAACCAATGCCTTTGGTCCCATGTCATTTGGGTTTACCAATCTCAAGTTATGGTCTTTGACTTAAAATGTCTTTTTGTTGACTTTTGAAAATGACCTATAATGTAGAAATTAATAACTTTTTGTGAGAGCATTTCTTGGACTTGGAATGTGAAGATGAGTTGTAGTAAATGTCATCCCCTTCAAAATGAGCATTGTATGGGATTTTTCTGATGAACCATGAAAAAGTTATGCCCTGGTCAAGTTACAGTTGACTTTTCAGCTGTCCAAAAATAGAAACTTTTGCATCTTGATGATTTTTGAGCCATGCTTGTGGAATCATGATCAAGACTTGATCAAATAATGATTGTGGCTTCAAATTAAGATGTTGACCAAAAATTTTGACTTTTGACTGTAAAATGACCATTTTGCCCCTACAGTTGATTGTGAACTAAATAGGGCTTTTGACTGTGCAACTTGTCTCTGTGAGTCTTGAAACTTGACATGTAGATGCTTGACAATGTATATAGGCCTATGGGACTTGATTGAGCCATTGAAAATCTCAAATTCCTTGCAAGAACCAAAACCCTAATTTTGACTAGCTTATGAGGCATTTGACTGTGCAACCCTCTGAGAGGTCTTGAACCATTTGAAGATTGATCTTGACAAATCTTGAAGAATATGGGAGGGAAAATTTTGGGGTACAACAGGACCCCTCCGGGAAATTCCTCGAGGTAAAAGGTGATTGGCTCTGATCTTCCCTTAACCCTCTCGAAGGTCACCATTTGCGGGGGGGCGCATCGACCAGATCGTTCAACTTCCTCTTTGCTGAATTTATAGTTAAGTCATTAAACCCTCCCCCCCACCATTTATGACCATGGAGGAGGGAAAGCTTTCCCACCTGCTGTGCATGGACAGAGGCTCCTCCATATGTTCGGGGACGTAGAAGTCCTCCGGTCTCGTAATGGAGAATACGGTCTAGATGAGAATCGACTCGTCAGATAGTCGGGCATCCTCCTCTATCTCTCTTGTTTCACTGGCATCTCGACGGGGGGCATCACCGCGCCAGTATTGCCTGAGTCTTCCCCCTTTTATGAGGGTCTCAATATCATCCTTGAGATGGACATAATCTTTAGTCAAGTGTCCATGGGTTCGATGATATTAGCAGTATTTGCTCCAATCTACCCCAGGCTTAGCAGGAGCGGGGCGAGGACGCTTGACGCTGTCGTCCTTGAAATCTGTGTTCGCACACTCCTCCAAAATACGCTTGTGGGAAGCCATTAGTGAAGTGTACTCAGTAAATCTCCCTGAGGGTCCTCTTTGTTCATAGGGGTATCGAGGTTTGTCATCCCTCATCTTCTCGCCCATTCGTCGAGGAGGGCCGGAATCTTGTCATGGATTACTGGTTGATCAACAATTCCTGGGGTCCCGGACTCTATTGGTTGCTTCCCTCTCCTCGTAGTCCATGTATGCTCTGGATTTTTTGAGGAGGGCATCGAATGTCCGAGGCGGTTTAATGCCAATGGCATTTCTGAATTTCGTGCCCAGGAGGAGTCCTCTCTCGAGCAAGTATCTCTTCATGTGATCGGTGTAGGGGACCTGGATGGCTTCCCGGTTGAACTGATCAATAAATTCCCTCAGGGTCTCGTCGTGTCTCTGGATGATAGCCTCGAGGGCTACTTCAGTCTTTGGGTGGCGACATGAAGCAGTGAACGAACTGATGAATTGGTTTTTTAGATTTCTCCAGGAGGTGATCGACCCCGGGGCGATACTCTTGTACTAGTCCATCACAACTTTCCTCAAAGTTGTGGGGAACAATAGATATTTAATTGGTCCCCCGACATTATGATAATGGAACATTTCCTTGAACCTGTCTATATGGTCGACCGGGTCGGCAATGCCGTCGTACTCCTTCAGATGGGGAGGCTTCTCCATGCCCGGGGGAAGGGTGCTTCCATGATGGCTTGCGACAAGGGACCGCGGGGGTCATCTTTGTCACTTTGATCGGGCGAGCGAGAAAGACACATGTTGTAGTGGTGGTTAGGGCGGCCCTGGTCGCGCAGAGCGTTCCTCAGGTGGTACTGATGTTCGTTATTTTCCCTGCTTCTGTCTCCAGGGGGTCTTTTTTCTTGACGCGAGGGGACGTGATTGCATCTCCCCGTGTCAACGGGCTGGTCCCTCTCCAATGCGGGGCGTCGCCCGATTGGTCAGGGAGAAGGACTTCGAGAGAAGTCTCGCCTACGTCTCCGCGGGGGAGATTGGGGACGTTCCTCTACTTGGTGATGAGGAGGAGACTGGGGCCTCATGTGTCTTTTGGGGACTCTCTGAGCATCTTCGAGCGCCCTCAATATCTCTCCTTGAGAGAAGATCGAGTAATTCCTATGATTTATCACTGCGAATAGTGTCCTGGTCGTGGCGTCTGCTCTGGCGGGAACGAGACCTCATGGAACTGGTTGGTCTGATAGTTCTGATGAGGTGGCCGATCATCTTCAGGTCGGCAAGATAGTGATGATTACGAAGCAGTTGCTCCGTCTCTATATTTCGAAGGCCCGAGCATATTAACAGTGAGGGTCGTGTTGTGGCTAGCAGTACCAGCATTATCGATGATGGGATTGTCGGTGACATTGTTGTTGGCGTCGACGATGCAGATGTTCAAGTTGTTTTCTGCTGTTTGATCAACCATGACAATCGGAAGGGTGATTTAGCTTTAATGTTGAGTAAATGGAAGACGGGGAAATAAGTTTCCCACAAATAGCGCCACTGATCATACCTGACCAGAATGGACCATTACAACTAGCTCGAGCAGAAGTTGAGAGTGAGGTGGGGGAGGGGGGGTACCTGCAAGACACTCTGATGCCAAAGTGAGTTTGGGAATGTGCAATCAAGTATGAGTTTAGAAAGTGTTGAATACCTGACCCTCTTAAAAGAGAGGATATTTATAGCCCCCAACACTGGGTTAATGTCTCTTTATTGGGCTGGTCAAGCAGACCCAACGTAGAGACTAACAGGTCCTACGTGAGTAGTGGGGACCCGCACGTGGTCTCCTACCTGGATGATGTCACCCGCAAGGTCAGGAGGATATGGATGCGATCTTTCTGGGACCACGAAGACTCCGCAATATTCGGAGACGTTCGTAGTCAGCCCTACAAGGAGGATGCTCGGGAGGAGCGCCTGCTCGTCATGGATGATTCCAGCTAGACGCGAGGTCGATAGGGGACCAGTCTTGGTCGATAAGCTAGTTGAGGTGTCCTCGAAGCCTTCATGGTCGGGGGTGAGCGTACCCGGTCTATTCGGGCGTTGTCCCCGCGTGGTGAGGTTGTCTCATCGCAGAAAAAAGGGTGGTAGTTGCCCGCCGTATTCGAGGCTAGTACGGGTCAGTGGTGCGGGTTGACACACTTGGATTGGGCCTCACGGGGAGTTGGGCCAAAGGCATGCCCAATCCAAAACAAATACCAATACAACATTTATTATATTTTCCCACTATTTTACCCTTATTTATTAACTTTAACGCTTTTAAACTACTCCACTAACTATATAAATAAGAGTGTTTTAGTAAATGATATTAATTTTATCATTAAAATCAACACATCTAATTATTTTTTTTTAAATCACACAAATCCTCAAATAAGACACTTATTATAAGACGAAGAGAATAATTGATTATTGGTGTATTCAAATTCTCATTAATATAAGATAAAAGAAATAGTAAATTAAAAATATTAATTAAATAATATAATTGGAAGATAAAACCTCAAATTACATTAAAAACTAAAAAAAACATTTATTTTGAAACAATTTCTTTTTGCAAATACAAAACTTATATTTTGGAATAGAGAAAATAATATTTAAATGAGATGATAAAAAATTTCTTTTTTAATAATAAGTTTTGAATTTAAATTCACTCTCAAATTCGAAGAGCAATTATAAGTAATGTAGTAATCAAAATTCACTCTTTTAAAATAAATAAATTAAAAATTAAAAATTCAAAAATTTACTATTATAATTTAATATCTCTACAAAACTATCAAATAAATGGAATTAACAAACCAATTATAAGTAGTCGTTATCTAAAGAAGAAAAAAGTATTTTCTTTAGTCTTAAATTAGTAACCACAAAAAGTGAATTGAATTATCCTCAAATGCAACTAACAACTCCTTGTTCTCCAAGTAACAACTCACATGCCAAATTCTTCTTTGCCAGTCTCTTTAAACCTATCTGAAACCTCACCTACCATCTTCTCATCTCTCTCCCTCACACACTCACACTAACAACCTATCAACCATGGCTGATTCTCCCAAAAACCCCAACCCTTCACACAAACCAAAACGACCCTGCGATTATTGCAGCAATTCAACCGCAGTTCTCTACTGCAGAGCTGACTCTGCCAAACTCTGTTTCTCCTGCGACCGTGAAGTCCACTCAACAAACCAGCTTTTCTCAAAGCACACACGCTCCTTAATCTGTGACTCCTGCGATGATTCACCTGCTACTATACTCTGTTCAACGGAATCCTCTGTTTTCTGTCAGAATTGTGATTGGGAAAAGCATAATCTCTCGCTTTCTTCTCCGCATGAAAGAAGGCCTCTTGAGGGCTTCACTGGGTGTCCTTCGGTTAGTGAACTGTTGACGATTGTTGGGTTGCAGGAAATCGGGAAAAAATCGTTGCTTTTGGATCAGGAAGCTTTTGGAGATGGGTTTTTAGGGTATGAGATTGAAGGGGTTTCTGATTTGTTTGTTTGGGATGCTCCCACTTTTGTTAGTCTTGATGATCTTATTTCTTCTTCTCCTTCTTCTCATAATTATACTGCTATGGAGGTTCCTCTTTTGCCTAAGGTATAATCTTTTTCTCTGTGTGTTTGTTTGTTTCTATTTTGCCCTTTATTCAGAAAGGACATGACACTATAGCGCCGACACCTCTGAAAAAAGACGTGTCAGTGTTGGCACCAGACGCTTCTGATAGCCTTCAAATTATTTAATTTTTCAAATTATTATCTAAGTTTAAGTGTTAGTGTCGTGTCTGGTGTCTGTGCCTATATGATTGCTCACGAGTTATTAACCACTTGAGTTCAACTGTATGATTAAATTATTTGTATATTGCTACAATTTTGACATGTTTCGGGTTATTGAAACAGAATCGTAAGGCTGCTTGTGGAAGACAGAAAGAAGAGATTTTAAGTCAGCTTCGCGAGATGACAAAGTCTGAGCCTTTGGATTATGAAGATTATATGCCACCGAGGAATTTATCTACAGATTTTGAACACGACACTAAGGCTGATATCGTTCCTTCGAATGAGGTAAAGCTTTTCTATTTCATCAGCGGTATTTGTATTGCGTTATCAATCATGATTCCTGATAATAGATTCTGATTGAAAATAATTCTTAATAGTGTACCAATTTTAGTAATATCATCTTGTCTATTGACTGTGTATTTCAGTGGCTCAGAGAAAGCAGCGAACCTATGTATCAAGTTGTATCGGTTGATACGTCAATCAGATCTCATACCGAAGAAATTCCAGTTAAACATTCTGTATCTTCTGTCGGGGAGCCTCATACCCACATGACGACACCTTCAGAATCTCTTAAGTCTGAAACCTTTTCAACTACTACACCTAAAGCTCTTCCTCCTCCATATGAATTAGCGAGTCAAGAAAGGGATTCTGCATTGTTGCGGTACAAGCAGAAGAAGAAAACAAGAAGGTACGTGAACATGACACCAAATCTTAACTAAAAAATTTAAGACATTGGATATATGAGTATGTTCTCTTATATTAAATTAACAATTTTGCATGGAAAACAACAGATACGACAAGCATATAAGGTATGAATCCCGAAAAGTTCGGGCGGAGACGCGAACACGAGTTAAGGGCCGATTTGCCAAGGTAGAGCAGTGAAATCATGGTAGCCTGCCTGCCTGCTACAACATGGTAGCTAAAATTCTTGGCTCATGTCACATAAATCCTGATAACATGTCTCTTGTATAGCGAACTTATTTAAATTTTGCATGTAATGTAAGTAAGATGTATCGATCCTTGAATCCCAAGTTTTTGAAGCTATGCAATATCAAAGTAGTATTAATACTGTCAGATTTTTTCTGATATAGAAAAACACAGTATCGGTTTTGTTCTTTCTGTATTTGAATTTGAATTACCCTTGAATTGGTGTTGGAAGAGCTTGAATAATGAATGCTTTGGAGGATATTCCTCCAGTAGTGAAATGTGTCACTTTTTGCCTACCAAACATTACAACTCAACCTTGATGTAAGCAAATTCATATACAAGCTGTAAACGTGTTTTATAATTTATGTAGTTAAGCAACTTTGAAAACTTATGCAGATCCTTTACAAGAAAATGTCGGCAAACAAATCTTGTAGCAGGGGGCCAGTGGAGACACAGTTGCTAAATCACGAGATGAAAAAGGGGCTATCTTGAAACATCACATTAAAACCACATAAATGTCTACAGAAACAGACATTAATTAGCCACTAGGCAAAAGTTATGTGTGACCGAATTAAATGAACCTTTATCTTCTTTGGAATAAATATGGTTAGTTGAAACTTCTAATGGTTGAGAAATAATACTCTCATTCACTAGATTAATAAAACTGTTAAGGTGGCTGAAGATGTTATAGAAAATCAAATTGTTGAGGATGATTTAATTGTTAAGGTGGCTGAAGATGTTATAGAAAATCAAATTGTTGAGGATGATTTGGATTCCTTCAACCAAATTAATCTGTCATAAAATTCAGCTAATAAGAAAGTGATGATCTCTCAACCATTGCCCATAGTACTTGGTAGACCATCAGTATGCTAACATACGAGAGAATTGACTATGTGATTATATTTGAGAGGTTTGGCTCTTGTTTTTAAAATGATTAGACTTTGTTACACTCCTTCTGATTGTTACCTTTGCTATGGCGATTTCGGCAACCGTTACTAGATAAGTGTAGACTTGTTAGTGTTGGAAATTCATGATGAATTTCTATCAATCTTGATGAACAAGATTGTTATCACCACACAATAACAATGAAAAAATATGAAAGAAAGAAAAGACAATTATTTTCTGTAGAGTTTCTTTCTATCCCCAAACTGTGAAAAACTTCTTATTCACTTGCAACTATAAACTCTGTAAATACAACTTGATTTATTGTAAAAATAGAGGTTACTCCCACTATTTATAATTTTAGGTTAGCTTGTTCTATAAGACAAAACCCAAAACTATAAAAGTCCAAAATACCTATTTTGAAACTAAATCAAATCTATTTATTTTAGACCTAAATCAAATATGTGTGTAACAAACTGCTTCCACACTTCGATACACTAATTCGACACACCTTGTGCCAAGCAACAACCTACTTCGACACAAGGAATTACACTTTTAACACACCACCTAATTCATTGTATTTAAGCTATCTATATTCGTCATAGTTCTTAGTCTTCTGAATACTTCGACTTGCACACTCTTTGTCATAATGTCTGTAATCTGATTCTCAGTTTTGCAGTGTTCCAAGTTCATCTTCCCATCTGCTACCTGCTCTCGAAGATAATGGAACCTCATTTCGATGTGCTTGCTTCGATCATGGGCTATCGGATTCTTCGCCAGGTTGATAGCTGACATGTTGTCGATCTTCATGGTAATTGCTCCATGATATTTCCCTGTGATCTCTTCAACCAAGTTCACCATCGATGTTGCTTGACATGCACAACGAGAAGCAGCTGTGTACTCTCCTTCACACGATGAAAATATCACTATTGGTTTTTTTCTCGAACTCCAAGCAACTGGTGCACCACCTAGCATAAACACATATCCTGCTGTGGATTTTCGATCATCAACATCACTACACCAACTTGAATCAGTGTATCCAACTAATTTGTATTCTTTTCCTTTATCAACTGCAGGAAACAAAATGCCATAGTTGAGAGTTGCTTTCAGATGCCTCAATATCCTCTTCGTTGTTGCTAGGTGTGATACCTTTGACTTATGCATGAATCTACTTACCATATATTGACAAGTAATTTTCAACTAGGGAAATAAGCTTTAAGTTGTAAGGTTTTTTTGGCTGAAGAGGGATGAGTTTGTGGAAAACAACAGGAGATGTCGACCAGGTTGAAGCGTATTGACCAGCAGAGCTAGTCGATGAAATACATGGGATTTGGAGACAATCGTCGACAAACGTAGGGGTCGACTAGCAAGGATTTATGGTGGCGGAAACGATTATTAGCGTGCAAGCCAGTAAGAATGTGGGGGATGTTCAAAGCAGTTTAGGGCCGTTTCCCCACAAAGTCCCATCGTGGTCTAGTAATTGTCGATGGTTACATACTTAGGATTTCTATTTAAGCAAATGGTTGTATTTGTGTCAAAGGTTGCATTTCTTCATATTTAGAGCATTACACTCAAAGTACTCGCATCTAAGAGAGAAACGAGTTTCAGGCTTAACAATGTATGAAGACTTCCACATTTAAATTCATATCAATTTCCAGTTTTCACTTTAAATTACAAGTCTTGTCTTTAATTTCTTTACTTTGCAATTGTCTTTCACTTTTGCCCTTTTATTTCAATATCAACCCGTTTTCAACCCAAAAATACTCAAAACACTAAGTCTAGGATTATTGTAGTCGATTATGCAAATAAACTTTAATAAGATGCTAACGATTATTTTACGAAGAAACAAATTGATACACCTGGTGGAACACGTTTGTGTTTGAGTCTTCTTGTTTTGGGTATGAAATTAAGAAGTGGTAGAAAAATGAGATCCTAGAACTTCTAAAATAGATCAAAATTTAGGAGGAAATATCAGTGCGATGGCGAGTGTGGGTTCTAGCCCGATGATCGTGTCTTCGACGGCACCAAATATAGTTATCACAACACAGTCAGTAACTGCAGGACCACCAATGATCATAATTTTTGAGTAGTATATGTGTCTAATTTTGCAAGGAAGACACACAAAAAGATTCAATTTAAGACGAAATTTTGTGACATAAATAATTTTCGTCCCAAAATAATTAGATTGAGACGGAATTTGAGACAAATTTCTGTCACAAATATTTTAATAAAAATATATATTTTTATTTGAAACAAAATGAGATTTCCATCCCATCATAAAATAAATTAATTATTTTAAAGACAAATTTAGTATAAAGAAATGCGGGAATCTTGATGCCAATAAATAAAAAAGAAATATATGATTTTTTCCGTCTCAATTTAATCTATTTATACACTTTATATACTACATAAAATTTATTTAATTAAAATAAGAAAAACAAGAGGATTTATTCTTATAGTGAAAAGGAAAAAAAACAAAACCGAAACCTTAAAAATTGAAAACCTAAGGTGAAGAAATGGAGGAGAAACCCTTATTTCCAGGAATGTTTTTGTCTGTCGGCCTCACTCGCTGATTCTTCTCCCGTCCTCTCTCCGACTACCCGAATCGCCGCTGTATTCATGCTTTTTTTCACCAATGTCCCTTCGCGTTCTCTCTCCGGTATTTTCTCAAATCCATCTTCTTACCACGATTGTAGGTACGCAATGCTTACTCTTCTCCACTCTAATAATTGACATTTTTGACATTTTAGGAACGTATGAATGAGTGGTAATGCCATTTGGTTTTAAAAATGCTAGAGACACCTATCAAAGGGTAACGAATGCTATGTTCTATGATTTTATAGAACATTTCATGCAAATATACATTGATGATATTGTGATAAAATCTTCATCTGAGAATGGTCATTTAGTCCATCTTCAACGATCCTTTAAAAGAATGAGGAATTATAGATTGGAAATGAATCCACTAAAATGTGCTTTTTGTGTACATTTAGGAGATTTTTTAGGTTTTATAGTACGCAAAAAAGGCATCAAGATCAATCAAAGCAAAACAAAGGAAATTTTGGATCTCAAGCCTCCTTCGACAAAGAAACAGTTGCAGTCTTTGTTGGGGAAAATCAACTTCTTGAGAAAATTTATCTCAAATCTAAGTGGCAAGACAAAGGTTTTTTCTCCATTATTGAAGATCAAGAAGGAAATTGACTTTCATTGGGGAAAGGAACAACAAGAGGCCTTCAACGCCATCAAAGAATATTTAACAAGGCCTCCCGTTTTATTGCCACCTAGTCAAAATAAGAACATGAGATTATACATAGCTGTATCTGATTTAACAATAGAAAGCATGTTAGCCCAGGAGGATGATAATGGAGTCAAAAGGCCCATATATTACCTTAGTCGAGTACTGATAGATGCCGAAACTAGGTATAACATGATAGAAAAATTATGCTTGTGTCTGTATTTCTCATGCATTAAACTTAAGCAATATATTAAACCAGTTGATGTTTATGTTTTGTCTCATTGTGATGTCATTAAACATATGTTGACAAATGGGCATTAGCCTTAACTGATTTTTCATTGTTTTACATTCCTTTGAAGGCCATGAAAGGCCAAATCGTGAGAGTTTGTAGTCGATCACACCATAGTCGAACCACCAGTAAATCTGCTAGCCACTGACCCTTGGAAATTATACTTTGACGGGTCAAGCCATTAGAAAGGAACTGGTGTCAGAGTTATAATTATATCTCCAAAAGGAGTACCAACCAAATTCAAATGTAGGGTAGATGGAAAATACTCCAACAACGAAGCAGAGTATGAGGCTTTGATTACTAGGCTTAAACTTTTGAAGGGCTTAGGTGCAAAGAGGGTCAAAATCAAAGGTGATTTGTGCTAGTGATTAAGCAAATAACTCGAGAATATAAGTGCATTAAAGAACATTTGTTTTTGTATTTTGCGGTGGTTAATCAATTGTTGGAATATTTTGAGGTTGTAATCGTTACACATGTGCCCAGATTAGAAAATCAAGTGGCTAATGATTTGGCACAAATTGCTTATGGGTACAAAGTATCGACTGACAA